ATCGTAAACAACTTTCACCAACCAATGAACGGCCTGGATTTTTATTTTATTCACAATCCAGCAAATGAACGGCATCGGTTCTTCATTTATTCACAACTGAAAAGTCAACAGCCACTACTTGCAGAAAATATAGAATTGGTGTTACGTTTCACAATGCATACTTATAAATTGATAAAAATCTGCATTTATCCAATTTATAAAATCGATACCCCTCCTATAACCATAACTTTTGATTCTTTGTGAATTGTTTTTATACTCAGGATAAACATATCTCAGAAGTGTTGAAAAAACATGGTAATCATGAACGTGCGCGTGTGCAATGAGTGAAATTATCAATAAACTTGATATAGCCGTAACGTTTACATTTTTGATGATATGCTTTGAATAATATTAAAAAATAATAGACAAGGTAATATGATCAAAATAAGCGTGGAAACTAGTAAAAGTAAAAAAAAAGTTTGATTTAGACATAAAGGTGGAGATGATATGGAAATTAATATCACATGCATGTAATGAAATCTGAATATCTTTCTGCTAATTCTGCTGTATATGTATTAATATACTCGTAAATAGTTTAACTAGTACAAAGCTATGAAACAGACATTTATCTCATACACTAAGTGTATAGGAAACAAGACACCAGGTAAAATGGTCTCCGTTACAACTAGAGGTTGTTATGTGCAACAGTGGTGTTCCAAATCGTTGCTATCGGAGATGTGTGAATGTGGATAGCAAATTAAGACGATTTAAGTATACACATAAGGGTTATTATACGGATACGAAAAAGGCAAAATATCCTCAAAAATATGGCACAATTTAAAAGAAATATGGTGAAAATGGGGTACGGAAAGCACAAGGATGATATATTGGAAACATATGTTTTACGCTGTAAGAACTGATATGTTAAACACCAGTCTTTGTAATCAATTCAATTGAAATTTGACCAGTGGCTCTGTCGAAGAAGTCAAAAGATGTTAAATGTTTACATATGGATAGAAGAAACAGGATAGAAGGGCACCAGACATTCTTTGATTAGAGATCACTTGGCACTTCAGCTCAGTCGAGCTGAAAATGATATATAGGTTTCTTTGCGTTACATAAAATGTTAAGTTAATTTAAGCCTTCTTGTATAAAAAAACAACAAACAATTAATCTTAATTATTTTTTTATTTTTAGGAAAATGTGTATAAAAGCATGAAAAATATTAAAAGCTACATGTACATATGTAAAGCTAAAGTAAATCACAGAGAAAAAGAATATGTGAATAAAACGTAGGTTATAGTCGATGTAACGTTAAAAATACCAGTTTATTTGTTTATTTTTAGTCCAGGAGCTTATCTGTATTCTGTCGTAATAATTTAATCTTTGACAATTTTTCCTCTCCAGATGCATTCATATAAATGTACATAAAAGCGGAATTTATGAAACAAAGATTCTTCTCAAACACAATAGAATATAAAGCTCAAGCAGCAAAAATATAAACAATCTTAAACAAACAAAGGATTCACAATGAGGGTGCAATATGATTATTAAAATATTCAAATGACAAAAACATTAAGTTGAATTCTATGTCCTGTGTATTACTGTTGAAAAAGAGTCAAAGCTATCAAAGGTATAAAAACATATTAACAATTGTCTTAAACATATAAAGATATTTACATTATCATTTTCTTACAGCATTATCTTAAACATTCTATGAAAGAATAATTACATCATTAAATCATGGTATCAAAATACATAATCAGTGAAGACGGATGACATTTTACAACACACTCCAAACACAATCCTTTTTCTTTTGGTTGTGCCTTAAATAAAATGAAATCAGAATATTAAAAACAATGCAGTAAAATGCTTTCTTTCATATACAGATACAATTTTGTCTGTATCATAAAATTATCATCTGGATAACAAAATAAGATTTTTTAATGAAGAAATTTCTAACCTACATCCCGCTATATATATAAAAGGTTTTCAAATTAATTTGGAGGCATATTTTGAACACTTAAAGGTCAATAATCTTTAAACTTTGCCAAATGATGTATCGTGGTTCCTCAAAATATATTAAATCTTGTCAATAGATGCATCTTAACACGTCATATCATGTCGACTCATAAGTTGGTCACAGTGACTTAAATTTTAAATTTGACAGACATTTGTTTTCAAATTTATGATCATCAGACTTTGTCAGTTGATACATGTACTTAGTAAAATGACTTACTTTTGCAAGTTACTATTGACATTTTATGGCTATTTTTAGATATTTTTGGTCCTTATTAGCTTGAATCATTTTTTTTTTCAATTTATGCATGTTTGGTTTTCGTTACCTACTTTGAAATTTTATGGCTATGTTTAAATATTTTAGGTATTTATCGGCTTAGAATCTTCAAACTTTGTCAATTGATACATCTTGTGTCCTCGGAAAATGTCATCATGATCTAATGTGAAATTTTTGGCTGAAATTTAATATATTTAGATTCTAGTTAGAATCATCAAATTGATGCATCTTTGGCCCTGGGAGAATATAATCCAAAAGTAGGTCACTGTGGATCAGGTGCCATAGAGGAGTGAGCATCTCCAACCGACCTGTTACACCCCCCTTGTGCTCGGGAAATAACGGAGAAATCTGTCGGTGATTTAGAGTGTAAATTATGACCTAACATTAGGAATGATAAGAGAACGTCCACCAAACGGAGGTATTTGATACCTACTTTTTGAAATTTTATGGCAATGTTTTAATATTTCATACATCTACTGGCTAAGAACCATCAAAGTTTATAAGTCGGTGAAACTTGGGTGTCAACTAAAAAGAGGGTCATTTGGAATTCTATCTAAGAAAATGTCTAAATATTTCAAGTTGTCTTCAAATAGTCTTCAAAATTTGTCAGTTGATACATTTTGGAGTGATTGAGAATGTATACCAAAAGAACTGTGACCTACTTTTCGAATCTTTATCATGTGATATTATGAATATTTAAGATAATAAGGTGCTTCTAATCATTACACTTTCTCAGTTGACTCTTTTTGGGTTTTAAGAGTAGTTTAACCAAAATTTGGGTAATGCTAACAGACTTTTGGAATTTCAAGCCTTTGTCTTCTCTTTATCTTATCCTTTATCCTAGTTTACAAATTCTTAGAGTCATCAAATAGAAATGATAGATTGTACAGTATATAAGAGGAGAAATGCAAGGTCCTTTGAACTCTTGTTTACGAACATATTGTATACTCACACTGTTAGTATTCCATTACAAATCGATGCATCAACGGCAAAAGTCCAGTCCATAGAATTGGAAAATACTTCATGGTCGAGAAATGGAGAAAATAGGCAGCCGAGTATCCATGGTTGTTATCTGTATTTGGTATCAATGTGGTAACGTGTTGTACATTATCAGTCGTCTCTATATGTTCCGTCACAGTTGTAGTTTCTAGGCCACTAGTTTCGTTTGTTTTACAATCTAAAAAAGTTATATTAATTCTGTCTTTGAAACGCACAAGAATTCAAGTTAAAATTTGAGTAAAGGCTCTTTGACTCTTATTCAAATCATAAACATACTCTGCTTTTCAGTCCATTCATATTTTTGGTTTGAGGCGTTGCAGTACTGACATATATTCCGGGAATTGTTTTCCATTGGTCGCATACACGTGCTATCGATGTAGCAATGGTCATCCTAAATACAGGTAATGCTCATCTTATATAATGTTATTGCAAGATATTTTATATGAAAATATCAGATGAAGATAAAATATTCCTAACAATTTTTAATCACTTTTTTGTAACGAGCATGACAAATGATCGTAGGACTATTTCCTTAATCTGACTTTAAAACTGTTTGGTGAAAGGTATTTACTAAACATGCATTAAGGTTTCATGAAAAATTATTAGATACATCCATGTATGTGAGGGTGGGTGTATAATGTAAAAAAAAAATATTCCCCAAATTTTTTAATATAGATAAGAAGACAAACTTTGAAAAAAAATACTTCATTCGAAGAACAGAAACGATGGAAGCCTCAGAAACCAAATAAATGTTCTCAATTATAAAGATGTATACATATAGTATCATTCTCGTAATTTGACAGAAATTATCCTCTAAGATTATACATACAGTACCGACCGCACACAACCTAACACCAGAGCGAACCCGGAGCGGACCCCGGGTTCGCTTCACGGGTTCGCTCGGGGTCCGCTTCGGGTTCGCTTTCAGAAATTTTGGGACCGCTCCGGGTGCGCTTTGGGTGCGCTCCGGGTTCGCTCAGCGTTCGCTCGGGGTCAGCTCTGGGTCCGCTATAGCGAACCCGGCGTTCGCTTCCTGGGACCGCTTAACACACTGATGCGTGAAGCGGACCCCGCTTTAATCTCACCGCCAGTAAGCCCCGCCCCTTGTATTTTCCAATACAGTAGTGGTATTGTTGATCGATCATTGTTGTTTATGCGACGATGCGGACATGTACACTGAACATGTAAACAGTGATATAATGGAGACCATTGATATTTTTTTCTTAAATTCAACTGTACATTCGACATAGATTTACATGTACATGAATAATTGATTTCCTTGATTTCTCGATCCCGAGAAATTTAAACTAATTTAATAGCGGGTTATAAGGCATTTATTTTTCTTAATTTATAACGAAAAAACAAAAAACAGTGTTGAATTGATTTTCAGTATCGAATGGTGTACAGGTGAAACTGACTAACTAAATACCTTTTAAATTCATGCTTATATAGTCAAAAAAACATTTGTTTTTCCTTACGTTTTGCTAAATCGTAGTTTAAATTGTGCTTAACACCTGAATTATTATATCGCATCTATAAATCACATGTTACCTTTTGTACATCTGGTATATTTACATTTCATTTTATTATTATTGTAGTTCGTAAAAAATATGAACGTGAATTAGACCCAGTGCCTGATGATACTTAACAAGATTATTTTTTCAATTAAGTGTAACTCTACAGTCATTTTGCGTTACCAACTCTCGAACAACCCACATAACTATGTATTGCTTACGCCTTTATTAATTATTTTTTCCCAATAATTAGATCTAAAACATTTTAAAATGTATAATAGATCATAATTCATATGTTAAAATATCCCTTCTATATTATTTTTATCTGATTATTCTTTGTCAAGTATAGTTACGCCATTTTGAGAGAATGAAACAATGTACGATTTACTAAATGTTGTGATTAATTAGCGTAATTATTCGTTCAATTATGTAAATCGCACTTCACCTGAGTATACCCCGATAAACCAGACTTATTTCATAGCGGTCCGGTTTTCTTTCTTAAATAGTGTTAATTCAACATGTACTCTGTAAAAATATAGTGTTTTTAGTGCTAGTTGTTTTTGGTTTCTCTTTTTCATTTGATCTTATGATTTTTTAACTTTTTTCTTTGTCCTGCGGAAGGGACAGAGAGTCCCGAAAACTGTTGGTCATTCTTAATGCTTTATATACATCTTCCTTTTATACATCTTCCTATTATTAAAATCAAGTCTAATAATGAGGGTTTACAGTTATGATCTCTCTCTCTCTCTCGTCTCGATGTTTCATATATCTTTTTATATTTAAATATTGGGTTAGTTAATATTCCTGAACTGTTAGTATCTTGAGAAAATGAAATTTTACAATAATTGTCGAAGACCAACTATTTCTTTTCTCCTATTTTTGTCGGTAAAATATTAATTGTAATATCAATTGATCTCCATTTTTATGCATTGACTGATGTATTTACCCAATTTATTTACCAAATGGACTTTCAATACCGGTATAAAAAACTAAAGGAAATAAAAACGTAAATTTTCATGTATAATTCTACGTGGAAAATTAAAACATATATTAATTAATTGCTTAAATAAAATAAAAGAAGTAAATATATAAATATAAAATACAACCCGGAGAATTAAAATAAATAATATCAAATCGTATTTTAATCATCATAATAGATTTACACAGCACATTAACACGGTTTGCTTGTATGTAGTGTTTGGATTTATTGCCTGACGTCACGGCGTCAGGCTGTATAAGGATTGATAATTGCTTGATCCGAAACTAATAGATCATACCCAGAGAGCTAGATTTTGTGCAAGCTGATTTACATTGGAAATCTTTTACCTGCATTTTAAAAGAAACTTTTTTCCAGGAAAACATTGATTTTTCTGATGCAAAATAATGCAGTATTTACTTTGTTTACTCTGTTTGCATGAAACAGATTATTCCATGTGATTTACCGTTTCAACGTGTCCGTGTATCTTTTTTTCTGCATTTCTATACTACTGGATCAGTCCATTTATGTTTTACAAAAGGGGTGATTCGCTCTTTTCGCGCCAAATGTCACGAGTAAGCGATCTTCGCGCCTTTTCTTGGATTGTTCTATTGTATGAATGGGGTCGCTAACTTCCATGGAATTAAATAAAGTTGTTATTGTAACCTCCATCTTCCTATGATTCAGAAATTCTATCTACAAATTTCATATATCTTATTCCTTAAAACAACATATGAATCGTATGTATCAGAATATGGACATGCAAACAAAAGAAATAATTTCTCTAATTTGTTTCCCCTCTGTTGGTTTATTCCATATTTTGATGGACTAGTCCAATCACCACAAACGATCGACGCAGTTCAACCAGGTTCCAGACGATTTGACGAAAGAAATTACCTGTGCGAAATCTTGGATTTCTTTTCCACAAAGGCCTAAATGTTGGATTAACCTATTTCGTTCTCAAAAAAATATAGTACCCACGTTTCAGAAAAAAAAAGATCAATGAACACAAACTACTACTGTTTATTTCATTGGAGAAAATGCTTTCCTACAACATATGTATTTAGTTATATCCATTCTCTAAAATGTTCACAATGAATGATTTGACAACAGATTTCAGAATAGGTGTAGCTTTAAATTTAGATCCAGGGGTAGATCAATCTACTTGCAGAAAAGGCAATCGCATCATCTCAAGTCTTTTCGTCAGAGGTCAAACTCGAATGTATCGACATCATCGGATGTTAAAAATTCATACATTTCCTGTTCATAGTAAAAACGGAGTTAGAAGTCCCTTCTATAGTATATTTTAGATAATATCATTACATTGAATAAAGTTAACTCCATTTTCCACAGAAAATAGGTCTATATACATCATCCATGCTTTATTTCAAACTTTGTGAAAGGGGGAGGGGGTGTCATGGCCTATAAATTAAGAATACATTTGTGCTCTCCTTCTCTAGATAAGGCCCGAGGAGTGGGACCGAAAAGTTGCGATTGGCAGAAAACCCACATACATTAACCATTCTGTTAACAACTCTTCAGAATGCAGCAAAGGCATCGTTCTTTTACAAGTTAAATGATTAAATATTTTTACAAGGTTCTCAAATAAAAAGACATATTTCAAACACAAACAAGAGGCTCAGGGGCCACATTGCTCACCTGAGCAATTGGCTAGGAAAAAGCACACATCAGATCAGAACTGAAAGTTTACTGAGGATTGGGGCTTGAATTTTAACCCCCAGGGGATCATGATTTGAACAAAGCTTGAATCCACACTACCTAAAAATGATTCCCTTTAAATATCACTAAGCACTGCTTTCAAGTACTAGAAAAGAAGATTTTAGAAGGTTTCTCTAGATATTCCTATGTAAAACTTTTATCGGCCATTTGGCCCCACCCTACCGCCGGGGGTCATGATTTGAACAAACTTGAATCTACACTACCTAAAGATGATTCCACAGCAGTTGCATCTTTCCTGTCTCAATGGTTCTTGAGAGGAAGATTTTTCCTATATATTCCTATCTTAAACTTTGATCGGCTATTTTGGCCCCAACATAAACCCGTTGGTCATGATTTGAACAAACTTGAATCTACACTACCTAAAGATGATTTCAAATGAGTTTCATCTTTCCTGGCCCTGTGGTTCTTGAGAAGATTTTCAAAGATTTTTCATATATATTCCTATTTAAAACTTTGATCAGCCATTTTGGCTCCATCCTACACCTGGGGTCATGATTTGAACAAACTTGAATCTACACTACCTGAGGATGATTTCATATGATCATCATCTTTCCTGGCCCAGTGGTTCTTGAGAAGAAAATATATAAAGATTTTTCCTATATATGTTAAACTTTGATCGGCCATTTTGGCCCCACCCTACCTCTGGGGGTCAAGATTTGAACAAACTTGAATCTACACTACCTGAGGATGATTCCACATGAGTTTCATCTTTTCTGGCCCAGTGGTTTTTAAGAAGAAGATTTTTAAAGATTTTTCCTATATATTCCTAAGTAAAACTTTGATCGGCCATTTTTGCCCCACCCTACCCCTGGGGGTCATGATTTGAACGAACTTGAATCTACACTACCTGAGGATGATTCCACATGTGTTTCATCTTTTCTGGCCCAGTGGTTCTTGAGAAGATTTTTTAAAAATGCCAATATTTTTTCTTTACATCATTATTATCTCCCCTTGGATAAGGACGTGGCCCTTTAAATGAACAAACTTGAATCCCCTTTACCCAAGGCTACTTTGTAGAAGTTTGGTTGAAATTGGCCCAGTGGTTCTTGAGATGAAGATGAAGATGTGAAAAGTTTACGACAACGACGCCAACGACTACGACAATGACAGACAACGGACAAATTTTGATCAGAAAAGCTCACTTGAGCCTTTGGCTCAGGTGAGCTAAAAAGTATTGCTCAAAAGGTCCTTATCACTTCTCTTACAGAAATTGATTGATTACGTCAGGCAAGCTTTTTGAAAAGCTGTTACTTGTATCAAATTAAATCAACACGTTCGATCTTATATCCCAATCGACAGATCAATATGCTATTTTGATTGGTTGACGCGCTGATTGGTTAATCGCTAATCCTGATTGACAGCTCCGTAAAGAAATACCGAACCCGCGTTCGCTCGCTGGGACCGCTACTGAATTTGGGGTTCGCTCCCTGGGTCCGCCTCGGGTTCGCTCGGGGTCCGCTACGGGTTCGCTTTGGGTCAGCCCTAGCGGACCCCGAGCGAACCCGGAGCGGACCCAGAGAGCGAACCCGGGGTCCGCTCCGGGTTCGCTTTCTGTTAGGTTGTGTCCGGTCGGTACTGTATGCACTGCAAAGCTTAACTTTACCTTAAGTGTAAAATACACCCTTCCAGAATCGTTGTGGTATTCCTGACAGGAGGACTGAAATACATGTATTGTGAATTTTTCAGTGAAGAGGACGTCATTATTTGAAATACTGAACTTTATTTCTGTTGTCCAGACACCATCCGTACTGTATTGTAGAGGACAAAATCCTTCAAATAAAGTTCTTTCTTCCAAGCCAGTCCTCTTATTTTCTGTCCTGATTGTGCTTTGATTTATGCTTACCTTAAAAAAAGAATTTTATTGTCAATGACTCGGACACATCAACGTTTCTTGATGAAGATATAGCAATGTCAACGAAGTTGAATGACATAAAATATTTTCTTCAGACCTGGTGTATTTCAAGATAACATCGTGAGTCCATATTTTCAAAGAAGTACTTTCCAATGATAGTTGCCTCCATACAACTTTTGGTAGACAGGTCACAGAGACCAGCACTAGGTACGTCTGTTATTGTAGGAGGTTCCAGTAAATCAAACGAGCAATCACTACCACCAAAACCGGTAAGGCACGTACAGTTACCTAAGTGTTCAAACATAAACCGATCAAATACTAAATATCATGAAAATATCCAGAACTATTAACTAATTAGTTTTTTAAAAGAAATATTCTTGCATATATCTTTAAATAAAAACAGAAAAAAGATTCAGTTAATCTGGTCAAAATTCCATATTCGTTGAATTAAATAAGGATATATTTTAAAAATAAAACGTCATTTTCTAACTTATTATATATATTTGTTATTTTAGACTTTCTCTAATCATGGGTATAAAGAAAATTGCATTTGAAAACAGTGCATTTTTCGTAAATATACTGAACAAAAAAAGAAACGCATAATCAGAATAATAGGAAATTCTAAGTTTTCAGTTTAAACCTTATATTATTTAAGCGATTTTAGAGTGTGTTGTGATAAAAATCAATATTGCAAATTGAAAAGTCAAAGTGATGTCATTTTCATTGCCCCCAAATTCAAGGGGCATAACAATATGTACTATACAAAGTCTCAATGCTAGTGGATTTCTAATGTACGGATATTGTGGAGGAATAACATCTCATTTCAGTCTCTTGCGAACAATTTATGCATTTTTATGCATATTTTATCATCCAGCAATTATATAGCAGCAGTTTTACAGCAAGTTCTAAATCGCATGAGGTGATGAAGGGGGGGGGGGTGTCTGACGGTCCAGTCTGGTTGTGGTTACATGCGGATGGCATGATAGTGGTCTTCAGACGTTAGTTTTAAGGTTTCAAAGCCCATTGATTTATTTCAAATATAGTTGCAACTTCCTGTTGCGTAGCTCCATTTAGTATCATCGTTAGCCTGGTTGTATTCATCTTTGTTTGGGCGTGGCATTGCAGTATCAACACTGCAATCAAATGTTAAATATAGGTTTAGTAGAAGTGTGAAAATTTTCTCTAAATCCAAAATATCAATGAAAATAGACAACTGATTTAGAAGAAATCATGAAAAACACTACTTTCATAAACATGTTTAATCAAGGGAGATAATTCAACACTTGGGTTTTAAAACCCCATGTTGTCCTTTAAATAGGTCACAGGTATCCATTGATATAAAAAATAGTTGTTTCATGTACATTCTAAAAATTTCTTTGACGAGTAAAACAATATGCGTTTCTTTTTTTGTTGAGTATATTTCGGAATGCTGATTTCAATCAGATGTACGTAAGTGATGTATGCGACATATTATTAGAATATTTTAACATATAGGATTTGAAAACACCATAACGACACATTCTGCAAAATTTGATTTGCTATTAAGTTAATGTCAGTCATAATAGATCAAGCCAGTTTGCTATTACTTGACCTTGCTTTCCATTGTAAAGTCATATATTAGTATTTTTATTTTGTAGAATTATAAAGAAAGTCTTAACCTATCTCCCTGAATAATTGATATATGAAAAATACAAAAAATAAATTCATTCTTTATATTTCTTTTTTAATTGAATATAAGAACATAGATTCTCTGTGCTATATCTCTAGTACATATTTCTTAATGAAGTCTATTTTTGTTTAAATAATTAGTCTAGAACATGTATCAAGACAGATTTTTTTATTACCTGCTTTACACACACCGTTGTTGCTACAATTGTTAGGACACAGATTTTGTACGATGTTTGTTATTTCTGGATCTGATTCCTGTAGCGTCGAATTCAACAAAACGAAAGACGTACACTGTTGTAGAGCGGCTTCTACGTGGATCTGTGTTAAATTATCATCGCCTGTCATCTGAAAATGATTGTATCAACGTAGTAGAAATTCCAAATTTCATCTCATTAACGAACGTTCTATACTTTGTTTATATATACAAGATGTAATGTTCTGCAATGGAATTTTCACCTTTATTAGCCGTATTGCTGAAATTAAGAAACAATACTTCGTTGGAGTAACATTTCATTGCTGATTATTTGTAGAAACACAAACAGTTAAAAAAATTTAGATTGTAGAAATTGTTTTTTTATGGTTTTTGAAAATACCTTTATGTCTTCGATGCAATTTGACATGGTTATGTTAGTTAGATCTGTAACGCGATTCTGACATAATTCGTATTCTGGAGAGGCCTGAAAAGATTGAATACACAGGCTCTTTGCATATTCCTCTGTTTGTACATAATCTATGTTCCTTGCCTCACCCTAAAATATCAAGTATAATTTTATTAAACTTAGCATTCCATTTTAAGCCTGTTTAAGAAACTATAAATATATTTTAATCACAAGCATTATTGAAATGAAATAAAGGAACAATATTCTTTAACGCATTTGTATTAAAGTCTTATTCACAAGATATAATTCATTGATATTAATTTATTTCTTAAGAAAATGGGGTCATTTTTTTTTAAATAATGAGAAAATGACTATAAATATTTTTTTTAAAAAGTGAGGGAACTACATGCATAAACTGTCCTTTTTCATGGCGATAGAGTCAAACAGGTTTTATGATATAGGGTAAAATTCATATTTGCTATTCAATTTACCATTTTTCTTGAAGTATGTGGAAGTGAAGCATTGGCAAGTTTTTTTCCTGTCTTGTTTTCAATGTTACATTTGTATTCTTTTCCCTTTTTATCGTTGCAGGAAGTGAAAGAGCTGTAGGAACATTCTGATTTGCCATCTTCCGTACAAGTACAATGCGGCACTGATATGGTTGATAAAGACTCCAAATTATCGTAAACGTCGGCATCACCGTTAAACAAGTTTTCATTAACTCTTACTCTGAAAATAAATAAAAATATTTCCATTTCTATTTTTTTTCTCTGTGATAATTCTTTGAAAGTTACATGTAGCGGAGTTGATTTCTTGATAATTCTACCGGAATGTAAATTTGGTAGGTCGATAGGTCAGGAGCTAAGTTGTTAAAAAATACTACTAGGAAGTTTACTAAAATCAGCAACATCAAGACCCTGTGAAAAACAACCATTCTCTATGATAAATAAATCCGTGCTCTTTGACAACATAGACAGCCCCTTTTTCAATAAAAATGAAACTCTTAAAGTTACTTTTCTTATCCTTGGTAAACTGCAAATTTGTTTTATTGTACACAAAAGTACCCTAGATTTGATATTGAGAAGAAACATGAGTTTCTGATTGATCATATTTATGTAGTTTTTTAATATTAGGCCTTCAATAACTTTGAACTATCTTTGGTTTTTGTCGGAAACCCATGGTTACACTGTACTTATCGCACATTATGTGATATGTTTATATTTATACGTAAAAAATTTTAATTCAAAAAAGGAAGATGTATGTTGTTTTACGCCCAATTCGAGATTTTTTCACTCGTGTAGAGAGGTCATCATATACCGGTGAAGAGATTCAAATTTAGACCTATACTCGACACTCAAGCCATTGAGCAGTGAGGGATGGTTGTTTTTGACGTATTGATATGAAAAAGACATTTTTGGTCAAATAATTTATTTAGATAAAAAATAATCAAATAAACACCTTTGAAAATTGATTAATATGTTAAACATAATCATAATGCAAAAAGGTCATATTTATTGTTCCGTAGTGCTAAAAGAATCGCAATGACCCCATTTTTAGTTTTGATTTATACATCAAACACCCAATTTTATGTAAATTCCCTAACAATCTACGTGATTCAAGATCAATAATATACCACCTGTCAATGATTAAAAAGCAAAAGCTTCTCTACGTATGAACAATTTCTAAAACGAGGTAAATTATTGACAGACAGGGTGATGAAACAAGAATATCAGCAGTCTCGTTTAAAGTCATCATTTCGTTAAGTTCTTTGGTCGGTACAATTATCTTTCCAGCAAATACAGTTTATCTTTGAGTCAAATGCTGACTGACGTTTTTCAAACTTAATGTTAGTCCATTAATTATACACTGAATTGACGAAGGATTTTTCTGGTATTTCCCGATCATGACCAGGAGCTCATGTGCAATATGACCGGTCAGCAGGGGATGTTAACTCCTCCATGGCACTTGATCCACCTCTACTGTTTAAGAGGTTTTTGTTTGCTCTGCTCCTATTCTGTATTGTATAATGGACTTTGATATTGAATACTTGATGTTCGTTATCTCCATATCTTTTGGTCTCTGACCAGTAGAGCTAAAAATAAAGTCTTTAAGCTATTTGTGTTAATTCTAAAAAGCTACTTGACAAAAATTTCTTAATACTTTTGATATCAGGAACCAACCTCCTTAACATAAATGTTGACATTTTTCATGCAAGTGACCGGTCGACAGGGAATGCTTATTCCTCCATAGCACAGGATACCACTTCTGATACTTTAATAGGTCTGTGTTTGTTCAGTTCTGTGTGTATAATTTTCTTCGATAGAAGTCGAACTTAATTACAATCTGTTTCCTCCATATTTCATATACTCGTTACTGCTAATTAACCCAGTCTTAGCAAAACCAAACCGCCCCTTAGTTCACAATATAATATTTTCTTATTGTGTATACTTGCGTCGCATATAAAATAAGATACAATATGGTGATATGAAGGTATACGATTTATAAATTTAACTGGTAGGGGATGCATACTATGCCATGGCGCCTGATCCACTTCTGAGTTTTTTGGAGTTGAGCTACGTTCAACCTCCCATGGTCGTCACGCGATTTCTATCGAAGTAATTTTACAATGAATTATATAGCGGCCGTAGTGGTGCTTCTGTGTCGACCAATCTACTCCCCTGTGATATTCAATATAAACTC